ACTTCATTCCGAGCTCTAGTGTTCCCGCTAAGTACCTTAAAACATGTTTCGCTGCTATCCAGTGTGCTAATCCTGGGTTTGCAGTAAACGAGCTAAGTCTTTGTATAGTGTATGTGATATCTGGACGTGTGGCTACCGCCAAATACATCAGCGATCCGATCAGTGATGCATAGTTATTACTTTGGTTGCCTTCCTGGTCAGTCACTTCTTTCTCGAGTATGATCTTTGGATCAAGCGGCATACCTACTGAGTTACATGACTGAAGACCTTGTTTTGTTAGGATAGACTCGATATATTTGGTCTGTGTGAGTCGGATTGACCTGTTGGGTCTATCTCGAGTGATCTCTATCCCAACGATTTTTTTCGGCTCTCCAAGGTCAGTGATGTCAAGTATATCTTTTAGTTGCGCTTTTAATTGATCCATCAGACTCGAATGATCCACGAATAATAATAGGTCATCGACCCATACAGTAATTATTTCAATTCCTTCCGTGGTCTTTCTGATGTAGGTGCACGGATCGGATTTCAGTTGTCTGAATCCAATTCTCGTCAAGCGGCTATTTAGCTCGAGATTCCATTCTCTTCCCAACTGTTTTAGCCCATAAAGGGTCTTTCGCAGTTGACATACTCGGCGGGTTCCATCATTATAGCCTTCGGGCTGTTCCATATACACTTCCTCTTTCAGTATGCCGTTAAGGTACACCCCTTTTACATCCATCTGCTGCACTTCCCAATCAAGGGATGCGGCTGTGGACATTATTGAACATATCGTTTCCAGTCGCACTACTGGTGCAAAGGTATCTGTGTAGTCCATGCCCGGTATTTGTGAGTATCCTTTGGCTACTAACCGTGCCTTATATTTGACCACTTCCCCTTCTTTATTAGTTTTCTTAACAAGGACCCATTTATTTCCGACTAGAGTGCGATCTTTCGGAGGGTCTACTAACTCCCAAGTGCCCATTTCCTCTAATTGGGTAAGTTCCGCTTGTACCGCTTGTTCCCACTTTGGCCAGTCATCTAATGTTTGCGCTTCTTTTAGTGATCTTGGCTCATGCGGTTCAAAACTGCTGTTTGCAGCTATGGCGGCAAGGACTATATCCTCTTGGTAAAGTTCTTCCTCAAGTTCGTGCTTTTCACACTCGAGGTAAGCCCATTCCGGTTCTGGGTCATTCAGTTGTTCATAGTTATGTCTTACCATTTGTCTTTTCGTTCTTCTAGGTAGATTATTTTCATCTTCCTCTTCAGGAAGACACTTCCTTTTCATGGGTGAGTTTTCTTGCTCTCCCATTATATAATCATGCTGATTTTCATTTGAACTTGAATGGTTTTTACTAGACTGTGTGTCCACTCTTTCTGTCTCCCCCTCATGCTGTACATTGGGTGCAGAAGGTGTTGCGCTCGTTGATGGCTGCGCGTCTACTCTTTCTGTCTCCCCCTCACACTGTGCATCGGGTGCAGGTGGCACATTAGTTAGGAACGTATAGTTTCACGATATGCGTATTTGATGTGTCCTAGTGTTATAATACTTTATTGATCTTGGTCCGTCTGCAAATACGACGAAGATTTGCTTTACTGACTTTGGACTCATTTTAGATTGATTTATGCCCTCTTGGAGCACATACACTGGTGCTCCAAATTCTTGTAAGTGTGTTACATTTGGTTTTTTACCGTTCCATAATTGTTCAGGCGTTGCGCCTTCTAGCGCTCGCGTGGGCGCATGATTTCTGATATATGCGGCATGTGATATCGCCTCCGCCCATGAAGACTCTGGTAAGTTTTCTCTATTAGCATCGCCCATGCTAGTTCGGCTAACATTCGGTTGAATCTTTCAGACACTCCATTCTGCTCTGGTGAGTATGGTGCGGTTGTCTCTAGTTCAATCCCTTCGTTCTTACACCAAGTTTTTAGATCGTTGTTAATGTACTCTGTTCCATTGTCTACTCGGAACTTTTTTGGTTGGTCTTGCCAGTGTTTTTTCAGGTACGTCGCGTATTGTTTGACTTTTGTAGATGCCTCATTTTTATGTTCCATAAATTCGACGCTGCTCCTTCGGGAGCAGTCGTCGATGAATGAAATATAATATTTAGATCCACCTATCAACTGTACCCTTGCTGGACCCCATACATCACTGTGTGTGAGTTCTCCAAGTGTTTTGGAACGATTGTCTGTATTGCGCGGAAATGAGTCCCGCATCTGTTTTGCCTGTATGCAGGCCTCGCACTGTGGTGTAGGTGTGTTTTCGTTAATATTCATACCTTCTACTAATTGCTCTTTGTGTAGCCTCTTAAGGCCGCTATAAGCTATATGTCTGTAATGCTTGTGCCAGGTAAGCCAATCTGTGGGTTGCTCTTCTCGGGCAGTGTTTACTTTTGTTACTGACTGTATTTTTGCCTGACTTTCCAATAGATATAGTCCATTGTAGAGCTTCCCTTCGGCAATTGTGCGTCCTCCGCGCACTTTTAAGCTTGCCTTACCTTTTCCCATTATAGCGTGTCCTCCTTCTCGATCTAAACATGTGATAGATACAAGGTTATTCGAGGCACGTGGCACATGTAGGACATTTTTAAGTTTGCAGGTTACCTGCTGCTTATTTATTATACTTACTAGTTCGACTGTCCCGCATCCTTCAGCTTTAAGGGATTCATTCGTGATCCCGCTGACTCTATGACTTTTTAGTGGGACATAGTCCGTCAGTGCAGACCGAATCTTAGTAATATGTGATGTTGTTCCTGAGTCCGCTAGCCAATCATAATAGCTAAGTTTCTCAAATTCATCACTGTTATTAGATACATTAACTTGGTCTTCCATATTCAGGTCTTTGAACTCGACTTCTGTCTGGTTCTCGATCTCTGTTGGTTCGACCTGCATCTCTTCGCCCATGAAGGCTACATCTTCCTCATATTGTGCATTATTCGCAACGACATCTGCATCTGTTGCGATGCGTGCATTGTCAAATTTCCTGCGCTTTTTTGGAGGGGGTTTGGATGGGCCTTGACCCACCTTTCCTCCGCCTTTACTCCAGCAACTCTCTTTAGTATGTCCCGCTTTTCCGCAGTTAGAGCATTGCTTATCCTTGAACCAACACTCAGCTTCAACATGACCCATCTTCTTACAGATATGACACTTCTTCACGTCTTCTTGCTTCCTCTTTCCTAAAGTCTTTCCTTTAACAACAAGTGTGTTCTCCTTTCCTTTGCCTTTTCCTTCTTTCTCTTTCCTTTGCGAGTTCTCTTCCATTATTAGGGAGATGAGCTCATGTGAAGTGATTGCATTCGTATTGCCTATTTTATTCTGATACGTCATTGTGAAGGTATCCCAGGATTCCGGCAAAGATGAGATCAACATGGTGCAGAAGTCATCTTCTGTCACCTTACTTCCCATCATATGTAAGGTCTCTTGGATCTCCCTCATATGTTTGACATGCGTAGGGATGTCATCGTCTTCATCAGCGTAAGTCCTATAGAGTTTATGCTGCCATGTGGTAATAGCTTGCTTGCCTCACGATTCCTTGACAAGCTTTAGCTGATCCCACATTTCTTTGGCCGTTTTTGCGCCAGACAGATGTATCATTTGGCTGTCTGCAATTGACAGCTCTATCACTGTCTGGGCTTTTCGGTCATTGATTTCCCATTTTGCTATGTCTGCTTCCTTTTGTGCTGACGTGGGTAATGGACCCCTCGCAGGCTTAGGAACAGTGCCTTCGACGTATCCTTCAATTCCTTTCTCGAAGAGGATGGCTTTGACGCGACGCTTCCATCCCAACCAATTTTCATCATTCAAGTGCTCGATACGATATAACGACGATAACGAAGAACCAGTCGTTTGGTCCATCATTTTGAAGGTTCATTTTTTTGGTTAGATTTGTTATTTATAATATGATAATTTTTTGTTTGCACACGGCAGGGCTCATAACCTCTTGGGACGAAGGCTTAGAATGAATATATGTAGATGGCTGATAATAGGAGCACAAGTAGGATAGATTTTTCGGGAATTTCCTAAGTACAATATATATCATATGTTTTCTCCGAAACTCAGTAGAAGTCCGCTACCCCTGCTTTGTAAGCATGTTCGGCTTGTGTACTTCAACAGAAATGATGCTCCAAAGGGTTCTTATCGTGAATGATGGTGCTTTAAGACTGTCGCTGGCCCGGGTAGTAGTATTTGTTGTATCTGTTGTAGGTGCGTGTAAACTTTAATGTAGTATTTGAATGAAGACTTTGAGATAATTAATTGGACTGAATTCCTACTCGAAATAATGCTACAGTATATATAATAAGGTACGCTAAATGTAAGTACCCGGACCATGTATATGTAATCGCGGACTTGTCTATGGTCCGCGAGTCGATGACAAATAATGTCCGTTTCGGACATTACCGGTTATTCGTTCCCTACATTACTAATTCTTCTACATATTACTAATTTTTCCTTGTTGTGCTCGTACCTCTATCTCCAATATGCGCTAACTCCTACAGTGCGGCCTGGGTCACTCCAACGAGGAGGATGCAGAGAAGTAGTAAGCGCATGATTAGATGGGCATATCGTAAGCATCCTGTTCACTATTTTTATTTTATTTTACTGGCGAGCGTTAGTACAACGAGGGTAGACTGAGAATAGGCTGGTCTTATCTCTTGAGCGTTCCGACGTTCACGAAAACAAGATACGTGAGGCCCTCTACGTCCCTTACTCTTCCCAAGATTTGGGAGCCAAAGTACTTCCTGAGAATGGTAACGAGACTCCGGGCAAACTAAATGTGTATATGTGAGCGTCTGTTCAGTGTTCTAATCCTGTTCGACCCCAGCGGCAGTTGTCCCAATCCAGGAGGTGAACGCATGTCCCAAGGCAGGATTTATGTAATTTACGTTCCGGTGTGTTTGCAATCCATCAGTTGAACCGTACCCTATTGTATATGCGGCAGTTTGGATTAGTGTTTCAACGAGGTACTATAGAAGAGGACGCGAGCGCATTATTGGACGTTACTTTGGGGACGGTGAAGGTATCACGGTATGTTCCGAGTAGCGGGCGTCGTCTCAAGGCGCCAATTTAGGAGCCGATGTTTCACTATTCCAATCGTAGGCTTCTATCTGCCGCTGCGATTCGCAATCATTACAACCCGGCATTGACTCTACCCAACCCGAAGTCAGCGTCTAGATTCGGTGGGCAATGGGTATTGGCCCTTTAGCAAATTAGGTTTCCATTCAATATCCACTGGGTACCACAGCTAAAGCGCTGATGCTTGACCGCCGCTCATTAACCTCTATATAAATTTACAGTCACTCAGAGTTTCCCTAAATCAAATCACCATGGATAGTACTTTTCATCCCTCAACGGTTCCCTATCCTCTCAACATCTCTGGTACTCAATTATTGTTATTAAGCAGTACTTATCATCAGCTCCGCTGAACATATCCAATAGGTATCACCATCGATTTCAAGGAATCAAAAATGGATATAGAGTTTGCTAAAGTATGCATGGGCGAATCATGCAGTGTGCCGCAGAGTGTGCCACTGATTGGATGTAAACGAAAAAAGAGATTGCGATGGACATTTTCTCCACCCTGGTAAGTACTCGACTCCATCACACGTGTTCTCATCTAAGTTACTACTATGCTTTCGCTCTAGGGTGCTTTCTTACGGGGATAAATTTTCCTTGCATATGGATTGTCTTAACAAGGCGTCATATTATAGTTCGAAGACCGAAGATTTTCCTTTGAACCCAGATGACATCTTCCATGCGTATGGCGCCAGCCAAGGACAAGGTGGAACAAGAATCATTGCATTTTTACCTTTGTTACTCATGAACTCAACCACACATGCGTAGACTACACCACGTATCATAACAAAATCAGAATCGACGTCCAGTTTTCTAGGAACATAACTATTCCTCGGTGAGTCAGCATGATCATCAAGTGCCATTCTTGAGGTTAACGCTCCATAGATTCCGAATACTGGTGATAGGAGAGGTATATAGCTTTCTCTGATCTCAGCCCAGTGTTGATGCTGTGCTTTTTAACAGACTGGCGTCGGCAAGTCATCGCTGGTCAGCCACGTATTTGGAGTGGAAGATATGGTGGGCTGAACGTGACGCTTCAACGAGCACAGCTACTCATACTGTCAATAGATCTATCTGCACGGGGCCAGCATTGATCATGAGTTCATTTCACCTCAAAACGACAATTTTGTTCTCCACATTAGCAAAGGTTTTGAACTCAGAGACAACCTCGAAACAATCCGGGATTTCATTGACCGTCGGAGGAACATGTCTCCAGAGTTGCATGCTGTTTGGTAAGGATTCTATCTCGACCATTCCGTTATGGTGGACTGACCAAATACATGGAAGGCTCTGCCTTGAGACACCCCTTACAGGCAAATGCTTGCTAGACACGAGAACGAAGGAATTTCTGACATTGAAACGTAGTGGAATACTGGGAAACGGTGAGTGCATCGATAACTATCTGTCTCCTACGATGGAGCTCACACTTTGTCAAAGTTCCTGTCATCGTCGCTCTTACTAAATATGATAGACTCGTCGACCGCATACAGCTAACTCTAGATAAAATCTCTCTCGAAGGATTGAGCGATGAAGCCATTCAGGAACTCGCCAAGGCAAAAGCAGAAGTGGAGCTGCAGGATATTTGCATCGGACCTCTAAAGAAAATTGCAGGGCCTAATATTCCCCATGCTGCGATCTCTAGTGTGTACCAATACTTCATCGGGTTCATGCATGCCTCTGAAGTGCAATATTCCAGCCAACGAAGACTATAAGAAGACACTCACCCACCTGGTTCAGATAACTGAAAACTGCGTCAGTCAGCATTCTGCATCCGAGACTGCAGTGATGACCTCCATCCGAATCGCTCAACAAGTGGATCCTGGACTCAAAATAGAAGCATCATTCGAGTGAGTCTTGCTTGCTTCATTCATTCTTATCTCGTGATTTACGCAGTGTCAGGGTTGGCAAGAGAAGTCTGTCCCAGTTTCTGGTTGACAATAACTGAATACAATCTAATCTTCTTGTCTTGCAGAATATCGGAAGACACTTTCATGTTGTTGCTGTTGCACGATATTCAAGAAGCCCAAGATGTGGGATTTTCTACATGTGCTTCATACTGACATCGTCAACGTGTGGAACTTCTATGACCTTCATCATGTAATGGCTATCTTATTTGTCGTCTTCGCATCCGCCCTAACATGATTTATGTATAGCACCTACTCGGCCAAAATTTCAGGGAAACGATGATAGAAACGGTCGAAGTTGGACTTACCAATGGACGTCGACACTTCTTCAGCCACGCGCCAGTGATTCAGCACTTCATGTCGTACATCGTCCACTTAACACTTGTATTGCAGACACTTTATTTCGTGTCAGAAGGACGGGAACTCACTCATAAGGCCATCAGGCTCGCGGTCTCTTCCTACCTTGCCTCCCCATTGAGAGGAGAGGCTCGTACTTGGATTCAGGCTTGTGATAGGCAATTGACCATCCTGGATCGCGTGGATCGGGATAGAATCGTCGAGGTGGTGCGATCTTATAGCATCGATGCGATACAAAGGGTCCAACTTCAACCCGAACTTCTGGGAAACATTCATACACCAAGGAGAAGAGGTGCACGTAGTATCGGCAAATCCCATTACAATAGTTCCCATCCCGACAGAATTACCAGAGAGGCTCCCAGAAGGGATGATTGCAGTCGCAGTCCCGAGAGAACTAGTATGAGAGTGTGGGCTCCCGATCCTCGCAGATTTCCACACAGAGCTCCCAGTCACAGATACAGAACTTCCAGTCTCGAGGGAATTACCAGAGAGGCTCCCAGAACTCCCAGAGCTCCTGCTCCCGTCAGCATTTCCAGAACTTACAGTCCCGACGAAATTACCAGAGTGGCTCCCAGAACTCCCAGAATTCATAGTACCGTCAACGTTTCCAGAACTTCCAGTCTCGAGGGAATTACCAGAGAGGCTCCCAGAACTCCCAGAGCTCCTGCTCCCGTCAGCATTTCCAGAACTTACAGTCCCGACGAAATTACCAGAGTGGCTCCCAGAACTCCCAGAATTCATAGTACCGTCAACGTTTCCAGAACTTCCAGTCTCGAGGGAATTACCAGAGAGGCTCCCAGAACTCCCAGAGCTCCTGCTCCCGTCAGCATTTCCAGAACTTACAGTCCCGACGAAATTACCAGAGTGGCTCCCAGAACTCCCAGAATTCATAGTACCGTCAACGTTTCCAGAACTTCCAGTCTCGAGGGAATTACTAGAGAGGCTCCCAGAACTCCCAGATATCCTAGTACCGTCAGCGTTTCCAGAACTTCCAGTCCCGACGGAATTACTAGAGAGGCTCCCAGAACTCCCAGAAGTTCTAGTCTCGTCAGCGTTTCCAGAACTCCCAGTCCTGACGGAATTGCCAGAGAGGCTCCCAGAACTCCTAGTCCCGACAGAATTACTAGAGAGACTCCCAGAACTTCGAGAACTCCCAGTCCCGACAGAATTACCACAGATGGTCCCAGAATTCTCAGAATTCCGCCAGAATTCACACCCCCGATGCCAGAATTCCCGCTACCCAGTGGGATTTCCAGTCCTGAAGTTCCCGATACCAGAATTCCCGCTACCCAAATTGCCAGAGAGCCCGGAGATTGACCAAGGAGAAGAGGTGCGTGTACCATCAGTGATACCCCTGACATGGTGGAGCAGGTGGATGTTACACCAAGGAGCAGAGGTGTGCGTAGCATCAGCGAATCCCCTGGCATAGTGGAGCAGGTGGACGTTAACGACGTCACTCGAGCATAGTTGTATTGCCTTTTTCGGTTTCGCTACTTATATCACGACATCATTTGATATAGCCCTAACAGGCCTCCCTGGACCTGTTATTCCGTTAGCTTCTCTAATTATTGTATTTCGTCTATCAGTCCTTCGTTCTCTAGATTGTCGTGTCATGTTCTCCTTCAGTCTCTTGATCCTCAATCTTGCAAATTTTATACTTGGCCATCCGAGTCTACGCTCACATAAGCTCAATCAATCCTTCCACTCCATCCTACATCACAAAAATTGCTCAACTCAGACCGGACCATGTATGGTGATATCTACGGTATCAGGACTACTGGGTATATCGGCTACCGGCCCAGGTGTGTCTTGTCATCCTAGGGAACGCTCACTTCAATCAACATACATAGAACACATGCCAGTCCCTGAGCAAGTAGCGCCAGTCAGCCGCAACATACCAAACAGCCCAATTTCGCCACCATCCAGGTGATGAGCAAGTTCAAGCAAGACTTGAGTAGACGTTTGTTCGGTTAGTCTCATGCCACGCCTGCAGTGATCACGTCGTTCATAGCTGTTGGGCGCCCATCGTCGACTACACAGATCCTGCATCCAAATATCATTAGATAAGTATGAAGTGTATTACAAGTACCGTGATGAGAAAGTTCCTATAAGTGCGGCACCAAACTAGTCCACAACACGGCCCTGTATGCATCAGGAGGAAGATCGCGTAAAGTGGTAAACATAAGTACCAAGAGAACGGCACGAGCTGTGATATACAACATGATACATAATGCATAGAGCAGGATGAATATCAGAAGTGGTGTGTCCAGAGCTGCAAGGAGCGGTGCAGTGAGTAAAGCAAACCAGGGCGTGCCAGTTATAGCAACGACACTCATGCACCATAGTACTCGTTCCTGGTGTGTTGGGAAGGCAAAAAACCAAGCCATACCATGGATGCCGCCAAATATGGTTGCCATAAGCAATCCAGCGAGCACGAGAACAATCCTGTCCACATTTCCGAGTTTGATGCTGCCATCAAATGTTGGAACCTGGAGCTCCCGCGAGGTGGGAATGCCAGGAAAGCCTATCAGTTCTAGAATTGGGCGTAAGACTGGAGCCAAGATTTTAAACTGATGGGTTTTATCTTGTTCAATCTTACTAAGGCAGGCATAATCAGTAGCGGTATGATTGTTGAGGCGCATACATACCCAATATGATCCTCCGGTATCACGGTTGAATTCAAGTCGGTCGACTTCCAGCGCACTGGGTGTGGACATTGCACATTGAGAGGCTTGTCCCACCACGCAGCATAAGTCAGGAAATTGAGAACCGCAAAAGCGAGTGTCCCCACTTCGAGCTGGGTGATTTCGAGGTGATAGATGGCGCGGGTAATGAGCTGCATAACAAACCAGGCCACCTGAAGCACGACCACTCCTTTCGATATGGCATTGCCCTTGCTCTTGTCGTCGATCCGGTCTGCTGTCAGGGTAGGAACGTCGATACACCTCTGACGTATCAGTATGAGAATGTGCGTTGGCTGTAGTGTACGGGAGGGTTCCCTGTCCTTATAAAGCATGAAACCACCCATGAGCACAAAGAAGCTGTGCTTCTGAGTCCACGTATAATCTAAGGATGCACATGAGCCAATGTCTAGGTGAGCACGAATCGGGCTTACCTTCCCAGTCAGACTCGGATTTCCCTGGCTTAATCCACCTTGCGACCCACCTCACAGGAGCACAAAGAACATGGCAAAGAGACACGATCACAAATAATACGCTTTTAGCAAGCAGGACAAAGAGGCGACCGAAAGCCAAGAGAATGTCTCGGGGAAGGAAGCGATTTTCAGTTTCAGAAACAGACTCCTTTACTAAGGACGTGTGTATAGTGAGTTGTGAGATGCAGAATTTTCAAGAGCACAACTCACATTCAGACTCAGGAGGAACATTGGGATACCTCGAGTCCTTGAACTGATTTGTGACTTGATCAGCGCTCAAGTACTGTCGCATAGCCCATGCGACGATCAATTCAGGAGCGATTAGTGCCATGATCATCATGCCAAGTTGTCGCCATAGGATAGAAGGGTATTCGCGGTGCTTAGGACTCGGGATATTGGGGTGGATAGCACTGTAGATGCATGCAAAAAGAGTGAGAATAGAGCTGGAGATGATGGTCCATAGGGTTCTAGTCGTGAATGACGGGGCTTTTAAACTGTCGTTAGTAGTAGTATTTGTTGCATTTGTTGTAGGTGCAGCTTGGGTCACTGCAACGAGGTAGAGGAAGAGGCAGAAAAGTATGACTGAACGCATTATTGGATTTCCCTCTAGGGTGTACCACGGTATGCATGGCATCCTATTCACTCTTTGTATTTTACTAGCGGGCGTCATCTCAAGGCGATGCAAGTATTCACGAGTCGTAACGCCGTTATCAGTCAGACTTACTCGGTTTTTACTGCAACGAGGCTGCGTACCTTATCTCATTCCGGTTTCTGGTCAGGACCAATCGGTCCTCACTCGGTTCTTCTTGAACATACGGACTTGGTCCGAACTCAGTCAGCGTCTAGATATGGGCGATATTATGTAACATTGATATAGCGTACGGTCTTTATTTGAAATTAGTTGCGACCTAGTTCTTCCCCAAGACGCGTGCTCCCATGAATATCTACAGGGTGCACGAGGGTGCGGCACCTGGACATAAATTTACAGCAGCTCAGAATAGACTCCTCCCTAAATCAAATCAGCATGGCTCATACCTCAACGGCTTCCTGCCCTCTCATCGACGGTACTCAATTCTTGTCATTAAGCAGTATCATCGAACCCGCTGAACATATCCAAAATAGGTATCACAGTCGATTTCAAGAACTTCAAAACGAATATAGAGTCCGCTGAAATACGAATTGGCAAATCACCATTGCGAATTGACGAACGTAAAGGAAGAAAGAGTTTGCAACATACATTTTCTCCGCCCACGTAAGTACCCGACCCCAGCACATGTTCTCACCTGAGTTGTTGCTATCTTTTTTGTTGTAGGGTGCTTTCCCCAGGGGATAAATATTCCTTATGTATGGAGTACATCGACAAGTGCCTATGCTTGGAGATGAGGACAGAAAGGACTATTCTCGAAGCAGATGACATTCTCCACGCGTATAGTGCAAGCAAATTTAGACGAGGTAAAACAAGAATCATTGCATTCTCGCCTTAATCACTCATGAACTCAACCTCGCATGCGTAGCTTACATCAAAATTCATAAAAAAAAATCAGGATCATCATCAACCTTTCCATGAATATAACAACTGAAGTAAGGATCTATGTCCGGCATCGAACCCGTCTAAGTCATAGATCAACAGACTGAACAGTTTGGCTCTCCCAATGAAAGCCTTGAGCTCCAACTTCCGAAATATACCAGATCTGTCCCCGGTGAGTCAAGACGATCATAAAGTGCCATTCTTGAGGTTGACACTCCTAAGGTTCCGAATTCTGGTAGCGGGAAAGGTATCTGACTTCCGCCGATTTCAGGCCAGTGTTGACGACATGCTTGTAATAGACTTGCGTCGGCAAGTCAACATTGATCCACCGCGTATTTGGAGTGGAGACAGCGGTGGGCCGAACATGACGCTTCGACCAGCACAACTACTCATACTGTCATTAGCTCGCTTCGCACGATACGCCAGGCGAGGTCTCCATCGACATGGAGTTCATCTCATCTCAGAACGACAAATTGGTTATCCACGATAGCAAAGGTTTCGAACCAGGGGAAGCAGACAATATCAAAATAGTCCGAGATTTTATGGAACGTCGGAGGGCAATGCCTGCTTTGAAAGACCAGCTGCACGCTGTTTGGTGGGGATTCTCTCTCGATCATCCCGTTATGGTATATTGACCAAACACACGGAAGGCTTTGCTTTGAGATACCTTGTGCAGGCGGACGTTTGCTAGAGACGGGAACGGAAGATTTCCTGGAATCAAAACGTAGTGGAATGCTGGGAGACGGCAAGTGATTCGATAACTACCTCTGCTACGTTGGAGCTCACACTTTGTTCAAGTCCCCATTATCGCCGTTTTTACGAAATACGATATGCTCATTGATCGCATGGAACGAACTCTAGATGAAACCTCTATCAATGGCTTGAGCAATAAAGCCATCGAGGAACTCGCCAAGAACAAAGCAGACGCCGAGCTGGAGGATACCTGTATTGGACCTCTAAAGCAATTTGCAGGGCCTGACATTCCCTACGCTACGACCTCTAGTGCGTACCAATACTCTGACAGGCTCATGCGTGCCTCTGACGTGCAATATCGCAGCCGCAATAGACTATGAGGAGACACTCATGCACCTGATTCAAATAACTGAAAACTGTGTTGATCAGTATTTTGTGCCCCAGGCCGCGGTGATCACCTCCATCGCTCAGCGAATACAACCTGGACTCAAAATGAAGGCATCAATTGAGTAAGCCTTGCTTACTTCATTGGTATCTCGTGATTTACGCAGTGTCAGGGTTGGCAAGAGAAGTCTGTCCCAGTTTCGCGTCGATAGTCACTGCATACAATCTAAATCTTCATGTCTTGCAGGATATTGGAAGACGCTTTCATTGGGCACAATATTCATGAAACACAAGATGCGGGATTGTCTATATGTGCTTCATACTGACATCGTCGATGTGTGGGACTTCAATGACCCTCATCACGTAATGGCTATCTTATTTGTCGTCTTCATCCGCCCTAACGTGATTTGTGTATAGTATTTGCTCAGCGCAGAGTTCAGGGAATTGATGATAAAATGGTCGAAGTTGGATCTACAAAAGGACATCGACGCTTCTCTCTCGGCCACTCGGCGCTCCAGCGCTTCATGTCCTACATCGTCGACTTAATACTTGTGTTGCAGACGCTTTATCTCGTGTCAGGAAGCCATGAAGTCACTCGTAGGGCCATCAAGCTCGCGATCAAGTCCTATATCGTCTCCCCAATGAGTGAGGAAGTTCGTATTCAGATTCAGGACTATGATAGGCAATTGACCATTCCGGAACGCATGGATCGTGATACCTTGAACAAACTCGCTGAGGTGATGCAATTTTTTAGCATTGATGCGGTACAAGTGTCCGCACTTGCATATTTGTCATTGGACGAACCATTGCAAATCGCGATGGCGCAGCACTCGATTGTTTTTTCGTGGGTGGTTTTTCACTTTGGCGGGTTCTGGGTACTGACGTATGATTGCAGATGATGCTCACTTGTACTATGTAACTGGATTTATGGCCGATCATACCACTGTAGCGTATGATGCACTATTTTGTGATTGCACCCGAAAGCCTGGCAACGACACCTTTTCTGCCGCATTTGTTGGGACAAGATCTTTCTAATGAGTCGCGTCAAGGCAAAGGCGCTTACAGATGACGGGATAAAGCTAAGGAAAGCTCAGGCTGATGCTGTCTCCGCACCACAGCGCTCGCGCCACTCTTCGACAAGCCCAAACCTCCCTGCTGCCTTTTTTCCTTCGCATTTCTTCTTTGAAATTATCGTGACCCTAGGCTATCTTGGGCTCCTTAGTACTCGGTGAGCTCTGAATGTCTAGATACTTGTGCGCATCCGCATGTAATGAAGACAAGTCTGGCGAGGAAGTTGGCCAAGGGTAGAGGACATCCGGAAGTGCTTTCGTGCTGCCCTCTCAAGTTTATCCATGCAGCAAGTTAGTCTCGTCGAGTCTCTAGCCCATCTGAGCAGGGAACGAGACAAGGGTAGGGAACTATCGGCTCACCCACCTTGATGTGGATTGGGCTGCCTTGCATATTGGTTTTGTACCTTATCTCTTCCATCGCTCTTGCCTGCACTTTCGCTCACGCGGATGCTTCTATGTGCCTTAATCTTCCCAAGATTTTGGAGCCGAAGTACTTCAGAATGATAACGGGACGCTTATAACTCCAAGCATGCCGGCGCCTCAAGAGCGCGTTTGATGGGGCCAAGCTAAACGTGTAGATGTGAGCGTCTGTTCGAATCACTTGTCCTTATCCGAAGGGTGATGCATGATGACTCTATAAACGCGTGTCTGGTGGCGGAATTAAATTTACCCAAAATTTCAGCTGATCACGGATCTTCTTTCTTCGTAGACCTGGGGTGCTTATTTTGTTATCAATACTCTTGCGCGCTCCGCGCAGAATGATGACTGGCTGTTCTCACTGTTTCATTTGGCGTGTAGATGTCCCGGTCCTGCGACCCATGAATTCCACGATAACACAGGTTCACAGCCCGCTTCATCTGAATAAACAAACTCAGCGTGTCCTCTTCATCCTTTCTAAGTGGCGTCATCCGCTTCATCAGCCGCAGCGGGCCAAGCAGCCCTGATGAGCAAGGGAGTTCCAGCAAGACTTGACCAGATGTTTCAATTTGTTCGATTGGTCTCATGTCACACATGCAGGTCATGTGATTGCGTCATTCATAGTACTTGGGTGTACCTAGGTTTATCATCCACCAGAGGAAAATATCATCAGAAAAGTATGAAGCGTGTCATAAGTACCGTGATCATGAACTATAAGTGCGGCATCAAACTAGTCCACGACACCGCTTTGTATGCGTCAGGAGGAAGATCGCGTAAAGTGGTGAACATTAGTACCAAGAGGATGACACGAGTTGTGACGAGTTCGATGCTGCCATCAAATGTTGGAACGTGGAGCCTGCGAGATGTGGGAATTTGGAAAGCCAGGAAAGCCTATCAGTCCTAGCATTGGGTGCATGGATGGAAGTAATTCTCTAGCCTGGGTGGTCTAGTTCAACGTTACCAGGGCAGACATAATCAGCAGCGGTATAATTGTTGAGGCGCATACATACTACTTGACGGTCTGTGATGAACAAATTTTCATTGGAGTTGAGTTGCGTAACCTTATGTAAGCTCTATTCAAGGTGGCCATGATCAAGTTGTATCTTGTGTCGAGTCACTCATCTGTTTGTAAGTGACTAGTAACAGCTATCATGCACATGCATCATGCCTGCAACTCACTCGTTGATATTGCAGCCGGATCTTGAGACAGTACAGATATTTTTCATTCAAGTTCTGGTATTCGAGTGCTGAGCACCGCGCCCTTTGTCACTACATAACTCGTCCAAGTCGAGCAAAGATGCACTTCTGGATCCCGGAAGTTGTGCAGCTTATTTTCGAATATGTCTATGATCCCGATCGAACGAAAGAGGACAGCGAGGGTCGCGTCACAGTTGCCAGCTTGGCACGAACGTGTCGATCATTTAGAGACCCTGCCCTAGATGTCCTGTGGGCTCAGCTCCACTCTTTGGATGCACTCGTTCTATGTTCTGGTGGGACACGAGTCAATGACAATAGTCAAGTAGTGAGCCATCTTGATTTTCTCTTTCCCCAGTGTCACTCGAACAAGCACTTAGGTTTGGGAGCGTCCACTGTACGACGCGGACTGGCGCGTTCTCGCGAGTTATGCAAAACGTGTTCACACACTGACAGTCTCACCTCAGTCGGATACATGGGATATCAGCACTATGCATATCTTGAATTGTTTTCCTCTTCCAGGAGCCCTCCTTCCGAGCCTCACAGAGTTGAATTGGCTGTCCGATCGTGAAGACTTCTTCCCCTTCTTACACTGTTTCTGTGGACCCATGTTGAAGACACTCACGCTTTCACCTGTCGCGTGGAGTATCCGCAAATGTGTCGCCATTGCATCGCTTGCACCATCGTGTCCTTTTCTCGAGAATTTTTTATGCCCTGGTGCGGATGATTCATCAATGCAAACAATTAGCGAAGCAGTTGTGGGTTGGAAGAAACTTGAAGTGTTAGAGGTTGGTCCTGTGGACGAACGGGTTTTGAAGCACGCTGCCTCTTTGCACACGCTTCAAACGTTGCGTTTCTCTGTTTCATCAGAGCTCACATCCGACATATTGGAATTTTGTTCTCCCGTTGCCGTGATAGGGATCGCAGCTCTCACACCATTATCCTTGCAAGCATTTATGCAAAATGTCCGTTTCTCCATTCAACATTTGTACCTTCGCTGCTCGCTCTACGATGACGTTTTCCCTCACCTTTTCTTCGCGCACTTGAAGGCATGCATGGTACATCCTGAGAAACTCAAACAGCTGTCGTTGTTCGCGGGAACGACACCACAGGAGGATACTAGCAACGAATCAATCGTCCTCACCTCTCTCATGTTGCATCCGCTCCTGTCATTCAAGGGACTCGAACACTTAGACCTCGGACATTCGTGCACAGCACATATGGATGATGCTTTTCTCACAAAGTTGGCCCTGTCTTGTCCAGGCTTAAAGGAGCTCTACTTGGGCGACCAGAAGGCCTGGCTCATTGCTCCGTTACTGACGTTTGACGGAGTCACATCTCTCTTGAAGCACTGCCGCCAGTTGTTGTCTCTCGGGGTTTTCTTCAATGCTACTTTCGAAAGTGACGTGGCATACACGGCCCCGGTCGACGCGATCAGTCCGCAAATCAAAAACTTCCTTGTCGGAGCATCCCCCATCAATGAACCTGCAAAGGTCACGGCAGTGCTGTCCTTTCTATTTCCTGGTGCATGCATCAGCCATTGCATTTCGAAGGAATCCCCTGAGCAGCTTCAGGGAAGGCTGAAGAAGTGGGGGTCAGTAGATAAGATGTTTGGGATATTTGTCGCCGCTCGGAAGCAGAGTTGGGAACAAGGCTGGGCGGAGGGAAAGGCTGCGGTTGAGAAGATCGCGATGGTGTAAATATTGATTCTGTGTACTGAACAAATCATCCTATCGATGTGCCCTAGCTCGTAAAAATGTTACATGTCACATCAGGAATATCCAGAACAAAAACCATAAAACATGTGTACCTAAATTCATATCATCGATCCAAACGAGTGAGTACTAGAGTAATACTAGAATATCCGGCGTTCTACGCCTCATTAATGGCACATAGATTACCACAGAATAATTATCCTCCTTCACAGTAACTCGGCCACTCAAAATCGGTTTCTACGCGCGAGTCTTTTCGATCTTCCTCTAACTTTTCTCTCGCTACGAATGAGACAGGCCTGTCGAATGAGATCCTGCAATTCTTGTTCCGCCTGTTGCTTCAAAGAATCATCTCCGAGTTCTTCAGCTGGAGCAAATGTCGAGAATAGACGTCCGGCGCCATCATACATGATGTATTTCTCGACCCACTGATTGGCAGCTTGGCGATCGTCCAGTCCTTTGACCACGACGACGACCGGCACCACGTTCCCGCGATAGGCTGTACAAAAGGCATGGAATTTCTGACGAGCTGCAGAAAGCTCGTCAGCGCGAGCGTAGTATATGAGAAGATCCCCTTCAATCCTCTTCTCAGCACTTGAAGATGAAAAGTCTGGTGCAGGAACACGGTGGACCTGGTATGTGTCCCCGCCGATGCGCACAAAGTAAGGCTTCAAGATACCACGGATGCAGGGCGCGATCTCGACTTCTTCGTCTCGAGATGGGTCACAGATGATGAGAGTAGACGGTAAAGACCTTTCGCTATTCCCACTATCGCTGATCAGGTTTCGCACAGCAGTGAAAGACTGCTTGAACCAGCTGTCGTCGACCGCCCAATCCGAGCAATTTTTAACGAGGAGATTACGCAGAGTTTCAGAAGACTCTTCGATGCGACGGGTGAAGACATCCGAGATGCCCGAGTGTTTGCGAAGCGTTGTGACGCATGCATGGTCTTCGAAGTGCATACCACGGCTCTTGAATTCCTTCCCGTTGGCATCCCACCAACTCTCCATGTCAGGCTCGTTCTCCAATCCTGTGACGACGACGACAATTGGGACCTTCTTTCGGCAGATAGCAGAGTAAAAAAGGTTGTAGTTCCGAATAAGAGCGCGACGGGCTCTCGTGCTGCGCACACAGTATACCAGAAGGCCGATGCCATCCGATTTAGGGCTCATGAGCTCATTCAGCAAGCTCTTCAGGTTTTCTTCCGCCTTGGCTGCTGGTACCGTGCCTGCAGTGCCCTCGTTGAGACCCGCAGTGTCGAATAGGACAAACGTTTGGCCGGATATTTCGACTCTATGACGCTCATAGGCGAACGTGCATCCAGTTGCACTGCTGGATGTCTTCGCTAGTTGTCTTTGCGCGATTGCATTGATGACTGAGCTTTTACCTGAACCGCTGTCGCCGAAGATGACAACGTTTCTTTCGAGTGACCGGATCTGCTACATGTTATCAATAAGCGTTTAGGTTATGCAGTTCAAGAAGTAGACCACGTACTTTGTTTATTGACGCCTGTGGTGGTGGTGGGAGAGGAGGAGATGGTAGTGGTGGTGGCGAGGGTTGTTGTCCCTGCTCTGGGGCCGTTATGCCCCGTTGACTCGAAGCAGACGAGCGTAAGTCGAGTGCCTCCAGGTGGGTTTCAAGTACTATTCTCTCATAGAGGTCAGAAGGATCGCCGTGGTGATTAAAGCGGTGACCAAGAGTGTCCGATAGAATGCCAGGGAGAACACTAAGCTGATCATCATCAGCACGACATACTGCCAGTGCTTCACGTGACAGATGAACAGCCTCGTAGAAGTGGTCTTTATTGCCATCTCGTTCAAAGCGTGCATAGAGGTCGCCAGCAAGATTGTCTAGTGAGCGTGCACGACGTGGGTGCTGCGGCGGACAGAGCTCGAGCACAATTCGCCGAAGCGATATGCTCTCGTCTGAAGGATCCCTAGGAAGCGCGTTGCACTGCTCGATGACATATGGTACAGCGTTGGTATCGAATACTACTCGATGAAGATGGCTGCCCTCGGGGAAAAGCGGCACAATAGTGCGGTAAAGATGTGCGGCCTCACGGAGATCGGCATGGTCCATTTTATAAGAATGACGTTTACAGAGAGCATGGCAAAGGTCAAGGATGGATAGCGGATGATCGACGTGTCCCTGGGGACGGAGTGAGAGGGCGGAGCGGAAAAGGTGGATCGCGCGGTCAATATCATTGTCGATGGACTTGGCGAAACCACATAGGATCGCATGGGCGAGATTTGAGAGTGCTGCGGCGCGGTGTGCATTATCATGGGGACATTGGGTAAGCACTGCCTGAAAACCCTCAATGGCGCTATGGAAATGCTCGCGAAGGTTGCTCCTCCAAAAGAGGGTGTATGCATCGCGTGCTGCATCAGTGTCGTGACCAATCTTATGCTGAAAATTTGACTATATCAGCAGTGATAGTATGTTGTTGAATTGATAATCTACCTGCACGATACCGTCTCCATCGTAGCGTGGTGTTTTTTTACGCCAAGCCTTCAACTTAAGGGATACATGCTGATTATCAACAGCCAGGAGTGATACTTTGGAGCCACTGTCAGGACGACGGCATTGTGAGAGGTGAGGACTCACCGGACTGTCCGTCGTGCGCAAGCAATTTGTCTAAAGTCGTCTCGACTGTACCCACAAGCTCGCCTCGACCGAGCATTCCGCCACACTCAAATGAGGCGCGGATTTCGAGGCGTACTTCTTTGGAGGAGCTGGAAAAGATGGGCATAAGCCACATGGGAAACATCAGCGGGCTTCCACAGATAGTAAGAGTCTCATTCCAAAAAACACTACAGTCGGCCGTTGCAGCCTTGATGGCAGTGTTCCAGTGACCATAGGAGGTAGAGACAATGACATAGTGGCCTGCTGGTGTACGATTAGATGGAACGATGAGATTTTGGCCACCAATCACTGCATGCATGTGAGAAAGGTGAAATTGAAGAAGAATTATGAGAGGTACGATACCTTCCAATACTAGAACATGTCCGCCTAACATGTATGAGATTTATGTAAGGCTAGCGTATTAAGGCTTCCTGCCAGGCCGACCCGAGGCTCAGTAGTTGTAGGGGATTTGGAGGGGAGAGCTGCGAAATGATCTAGCTTTAGTATCCACGGCGACATGCAAGCTAGAATTTTCAGTGAGCATTTGCCATCAGCGTGTTCAAATGTGGAAGTTCCGACATGAACTGTATATTAATATTGCATTGCCTGCATGTTGTCACAAGAGACGCTCAAGCGAAGTCGTTCGAATGCAAGGAGGCTGTTGTGGCTTAATTGCCAATTACGTCTTCTCCGTCGACTCGGAATATTCCGTTTGATTGAGAGAATTTCTATGTATACCAACGAAAACGTACATTAAGACGCGGTGCTCTACTACGAGTTGTCCTGGGAAGGGAAATAGGTATAGTACGAACAATTGATAAAGGCTGCTTTGAAGTGTTGATGTTGTGCGCTTGCGTCCAGGTCGGGGGGGCCCCCTCCATGCTGATTTCATATAAAACCTCCCCTCGAAGCTTCCTCCGTCGTCATCCTCCCCCACTCGTCACTCAACCTGTCCACCACCCTCCACCACCTTCTTCTCTCTATCGTTCCTCCTCTCTCGATCGATTAATTCACTTCAGGACCAAACCTACCGCTTCAGATGAAATCGCGTTAGTGAGCCTGAGCGCTTGGAAGAAGTTTGAACTTATCCGAGATAGCAACACCTGCGAAGCACCTATTTAGCGTGTTGTGTGACGATCAACCATACGTACATATGATATTTGGTGGGCAGGAAACCTGCGATAACTCTCGAGGCCGGCCCCTATTTAGAATTCCAATACTCCTTGTGGACCCTGTCCTTTCATTCCGGGAGAGTATGAAACCAGGAGTTCTGTAGTCGGACGGGTCTTGGCTGGCTTCGTCGTGATGTCAGCCTTGTTGTGGGCTTCTGGTGCGTTTGCAGTGAACTTGGTCCATTGATGTCTTGTGTTTTATCAGTGTGTCTTCTCTTCGACGTGGTCAAAACGAACGAAAGTCCCCATGAAACAACATTTCATGTCACGGATTGCTGTGACACCTTTGCGATGTGCCGTTGCTGAGCATGGTGGTTTCTAGTTTACGTCCAAGTTTCATACGTGTCCTGATGCTTGCCGATGATTATTTGGCCAGCAACTGCCCCTTACAAATCGTCATGGTCAGCTTTCTTGAGCCTATCACACACCAATAATACAGCCATCTCGTGTATCTGTGTGTCGCATTGGCAGGCGCAGGCTCCGTACCTGTTGAGTCAACCCCTGACAAAGTATGTTCAACTGCCCATCGAATCGTCGCTATAAATGCTAACGACTATAGAATCTCCAAATGAAAGCCTCACTATCTTGATACCAAGGCTTCTGGAAAATGAGGCTTTCATTTGTGGAGCGAATGATATACTCATGGGTAAATGGGTCTATTCAGAGGCCACTTTGACCGACCATCTTCGATATTTTTCGTCCGATTTACCCATGAAGTAGAACATATTGCGGGAATGTTGTTTCAAGTTCATACATCATGCATCATGCCGTACCATCGATCTAGTGCTTCAAATGGTATGATTCCCACTCAGGGTATCCCACTCAGGCCAAAGAAGTTAGTCCTTCTGACATAGAGCGCCTTGATATATTCCCTAGGCCCAGTGCGTCGTTCTAAACCCAATTTCCCTTCCTGAAATTCTGCGACCACGGTACTCTTTTCCATCCATGGCGTGCGCACCCAATACAGCTCCGCTAAACTTCGTCATCTTCGGTGAAACGGGCGTAGGAAAGAGCTCACTGGTCAATCTTCTTGCTGGGAAGACAGTTGCCAAGTCCTCTTCCGGTTTAAAGTGCTGCACTCTGGAATCAACCGAGTACACGATCACATCATCTGAACACCAGCTTAATGTCAGATTATTTGATACGGTAAGTACGTGAATTCTTCCAACATAGGGATGTTCTAAGTCGAGACCTGCGGCATACAGGTGGGGTTGAATAACGTCACAATGAACGGCAAGAGTCATCTAGTAGATGCGCTAGTGAAAGCGCATAAACTCGTTACCTCCCTCCAAAACCAAGGAGGTATACACGGGTTGCTGTTCTGCATCAAGGGCGGTAACAAAATATTGGCATCTACGCAGCAGAACTACAGGCTGTTCCATGAATTCCTGTGCCAGGAGAATGTGCCTCTTGCACTGGTCATTACCAACCTCGAGAACGAGGAGAACATGGATGCCTGGTGGGCGATCAACCAGGGTGATATAAAACACCATGGCATAGTCCCCGTTACGCAGGTCTGCATCACCACCATCATGGGCCTCAGAAACGTATACGAAGATAAATACTGGGAATCTAGGAAAAAAGTATGGGATATGCTGGCTACGCTTGCAAGGGAGGATGTGCTGGCTACGTCCCCAAGGGGGGATGCGTGCTCGCTCGATATTAACTGGTTTGCGTGTGCAGGAAGCGTCGTCGAAAGATTATGATGACACTCACGACGCGTTGCAAGCTGCCTGAGCAAGATGCAAAGCAACTTCTTCGAAGGATTAAATCACACGAGAACTAGAACAATTTTTGTATTTATTGAACACCATACCCATACGTTATCCGATACCTAGTACATCCAATTATCTAGCATGCTGTCATACTTTCACCTCGTCTCGCTATCGATCCACTCTGCTCACAAACACTTGAACGGCCGTCCACAAAGGTCCTTCCTGAGAGCTGCCTCGTATGTTGGTCCCTTGAAGCTGTGCACAACGTCCTCGTCTTCTGTTTGTTCGCAGCATGTTGGGGATGTGCGATTTGCTCAACTTTAGTTTAGCTTTGATTCTGCAGCCCGTGACATGTCCTACCTTTCTGGAGAACAACCCTGCATGACCCGACAGGGAGCACCAATTCATAGCGCTAGTGCTGCGATATTGCAAGTGTCGGGGAACCGTGGTGCTCGTAGCCTCCCCTAATCAGTGGCGTTGGAGAGAAGGCCATCTATTTTTAATAACGCGACACAATGACTGCTTGTCTAGCCACTGTGGCGAGACCAGGGTCCACCATGCTTTGCAGATAAGTTCAATAAAACTGATTAGACCCTCGAGAACCTCACATTAAATACTCATTTGAACAGCATGGTGCTACTATGGGGTTACGCCGCACAGCAGCAGCAAGCTGCGCCGTCTTCAAGACATTATTTGGGAAGTATCGGCTGCCTTGATGAAATGAACATGCACTGTGCGCATCTATGAACAGCAGGTTGCTAACCGTCCGCGCTTAGAGCAGGGATATAAGGACGGAGTGCTACACATTCTGCTGGCAGGAGCCGGAGGGCAATGACAGGGCAGGTGAGAACCGTCTATACAAGTTCTGTGTCAGTCACGTGCATGTTCAACACCGGCTTCAATGAGAACCGAACGATAGTTGACCTCGTAGACTATAGTCCACTGCTCTATGGGTGGTATCTTCGCAGCCGCCGAAGACATCGTTAGTACTGTGGAGAACCATAGATTCTTTTTGTGCTCTTTGTCGTTTTGTGCTATTTGTGTTTGAGACGATCAACTGACATCACTAGCTACAGGACCCAGGTGGTTTTCCATGAAATTGTTGCATGACGCGATACTAACTTAGTACTATCGGACTTGGTAGATGTTGGACATGAAAGCCTCGTGAATACTGCATGTATGGGCGAGGCGCCCTTGGCCATGGGAAATCTTCTTCAGCGGGTAAATCCGATGATTCTCTTCTAACGCGCAGCCTTCATGCATCACCTCAGGTGATGATCGATGCTCATGATCTGATCTAGGGCCTCAAATAGTGGCATGCCCGGCAGGATGACTCTCTGGCATTGGTGAAAGGGGTGTGTCATTATGGGCGCTCAACATTTTGTATATACCCTAGAGCTCTCGCTCTCTTGCCCCTTCTTTGCTCTTACGATATTCTTTCACGCCACAGTGCGCGCTGCCAGCAGTGCTGCCCCCTTCACCTTCCGTAATGTCCTCTCAACCGCGGCCACCAAACTTTATTATCTTTGGTGAGATGGGAGTTGGCAAGAGCTCGTTAGTAAATCTCATCGCTGGGAACCAACTTGCTACCTCCTCGTCCGGTGCACAATCTTGCACACTCGAATCAACCGAGTATCCAGTCACATTTTCAGATCCCCGGCTTAATGTAAATTTATATGATACAGTAAGTGAATGCAATGATTCTCAGCGTGTCGGTATTCTAATTCACAAATAATCTAGGTGGGCTTGGATAGCCCCTCTATGAACAGTGCGGGATATTTAGATGCTCTTGTGAAGGCACATGAGCTCATCGTCTCGCTCAAGAACCGAGGGGGTGTAAACGGCCTGCTTTTCTGCATCAAGGCTGGCAGAGTGTCGAACACTGTGCAGCAGAACTACAGATTATTCTTCGAGTTCCTGTGCGAGGAACGGGTGCCTCTTGCCCTGGTTATTACCAATCTTGAGAACGAGCCCAACATGGATGACTGGTGGACGATGAACAAGGCACATATCGAAAAATCCGGCATTGATCCCGTTACACATGTCTGCATTACGACCATCAAGGGCTACAAAAATGCTTACGAGGCCAGATACTTGGAATCCAGGGCGAAGGTGCTCAATATGCTTAGGGAACTCGGTAATAATGATGCATGTTCAGTGGACGTGAGTAGTTGGTTTGCGCGGGTGTGTAAGAAGCTGCGGGAGTTTTTGGTTCCGGCCAAAGGGTTGGGGAGGAGTCGTCAGAAGATGTTGCAGATGCTCACGAAGCGTTGCAAGCTGCGCAAGGAAGATGCGGTGCAACTTCTTCAAAGGATTGACGCGGATGAGGAGAAACTAGGGACTTGATCAAATCTAATCATAAACAGATAGGCTATCGAGTACACAGTAGGAGGCTCGAGTCATCTAAATCTACATACCAGCACTTCATATTCATACGATATAGCTACAATTGATTCGAGTGTTGATCACTCTACTCGGGTCCGACATTTAGTACTATACTACGCACGTTCACATCGAGCTTGAACTGGCACCTGGAGTCGTCGTTGTCACAGGTACTAGTCATGAGCCTATATTTTTACATATATATTTAAGATGGATGACTCGAGGTTAGCATACAGTTTTCTTACCATACTACTACATAGTTACAGACCACAATCAAACTTCATAGCGGCGCACCTGGAGAGGCACACTTCCAGCGTCACTCCCAGCCACCTTTGGCCTTGGTGTAGTCCCCAAACCGTCTACAATCTGCACTCCAGGGCCATCCACTATCTCAAACACAAATTTTCGCACAAGGACGAACAACACAGCCTGCAGGAGCAAAACCAGACCCGGTCAAAACAACTAGGAACCAATACTCTAACTGCACAGCTGCGTACCTTGAACTCTGCCAACGCAAATAGCCTCCCTAAGCACATCCGCGCTCCATCGCCGAATGTCATCAAATGACGATAGCCATGCAGGGTTTCTCTGGCCCCAAGCGTACCCTCGTCCCCTTCAAACCACCGAGAAGGTCTGAATGCCTTTGCGTCAGGACCCCACAGGCTAACGGAGCAATTGAGTGCAGCGAACGGGACCACGATCACAGTCCCCTTCGGGATGCATATGCTCTCGGTGAAATCACCGGCAGCTGTGCGCAAGGGTTCGCTGAGAGGGATCACGTCTTCTTGCATAGCCTGTCATAGTCAGTTTGAGTGGTTTGTATTGCTTTGAGTCGGATACGCACTGATCGCGAGATCTCTTTGACCGGTGCGTGGAGGCGAAGAACTTCATTTACCACAGCGTCCAGATAGGGAAGTTTGTTCGTAAGGTCGTCATATGAGAGGGTTGGCCCAAACTCTAAGCACTCGTTGCGAAGCTTCTTTTGTATGTCTGGATTCTGCGCAAGTTCTACTAAAGCCCACTGTGGAGTTAAGAAATATGGTTGGACTTGCGAACAGTTTGAAACTTACTGTCATGCTTACTGATCAAACGCGAGTAATGGTGAATGTATAATTCTCTTGCTAGATGGATGCACATTACCTGAAGTGGTCTCAAAACTGACGAGAAGGAGAACGCTTGCCTGGCGGAGACGGAAATCAGCACCCCATCATTCAGAGGAAATCTATAATTCGTGTACCTCATCTAGTACTTCTTGTGGAGTCAGCCCCGCGCTCTCACCAGATTCCTCCGCTTTCACTATACATCAATTTTAAGGTTTAGAAATTCGCAAATGAACGATAGGACTCACAGAGTAAACCCAGACACGATTTGTCCCCCTTCTCAGCACCGCCAGTATCCTTTTCCTTGCGCGTCCGTGATAGCATCTCCTGGCATATTTTGCCAACTATCAGGCGAAGCTTTTGGGTGAACCGCATGCGAGGCAATGGCAGCTTCAGGATGGAAGGAAAGTTTTGTGCCAATATGATCAAGTTGGAAATTTTGGCGGGTGAACCAAATGCATTCAGGACGTGCGCGACGTCCGAGTCATTTCCATCGAGTGCGCCGAAGTCATGGGACAGGAGGGCTATGCCTGCACAGTCGAGTCTATGTGGCAGGTGATGAATAAGACATCAGCGGGTAGAAGGGAATAAGTATACATACGAGATATGATTCATCCTGTATAATATGTCTGAGAGTGCAGCTACGAAAATTTGGAGGAAGAAAGTACCATTGTTGAACATCAATTACTGCGCAATGAGTTCTTTGATTCAATTCTATCTCACCGTCCCAAGCGATCACTATCTATAACACATTAAATAAAGTGCAAGGTGAATCGGTTAGTGACTGACCTTGTGAGCGGCACATTGGAAAACAGATGTCAAGCTGCGAATAGCAGCTGCGGTAAAGGCGGGGTTGAGAGCCTTGCGCTGCCTAACAAATGAGAGGAAATGACATGGATTTAGCTCAGCACCACTTGAAAGTCTCACTTCTTACCTTTTGTGACTTTCACCATCGGCCCACAATACTCCTCTTCCGATCTATTATTTGCATAAGCGCGCTGTTACCCTATAGCTGTACGACATACCGTTGTTTGAATGACGATCTTGCTGAACGGAGTTTGGTTATACAACCATGTGTCTCTTGCAAAGAAATGAGAGATTGCTTTTGGGTCCCATAATATAACCCTGGACCGTCCAAAGATATCCGGGACCTTATACACTGTACCATACTCCCTAGCCCAACGTTCGTACAGTTCAGTTGTAGCGGTGGAATTTAACAGTATCTTGGCGAATCCAAACACCCAGCCTGGGGTCTGAGGTCCTCGTATGGGTGTCCGAGTCGTTCGTTGTTTTCGGCGATAGACTTGTAGGAGATAGAGAGACGCCAGTATCACAACCGCGACAAGTGTCGTTGAGCCTGGTAGGGGTGAGATCAGGCAAAGGTCCTTAGAAGGTAAGCCAAATGTCCCTGGCGCAGTGCTTACTTTGCAACAAAGCCATTGCTGTTGACAAGATGAATCAGTACCCGCTCTCCAATGCTAGTCACAGGGTGGCGTCTGCATCAGGGCCCATCAGTGAAGTTGGCAACGGTAAGTATCTGCGGAATTTCTGCGGAACCAATATTAACAACCTGCGGTGTAATAAAATAGGATTTCCACCAAATGAAAGAAAAGAGCTGGTTGAACTGGTTCACCGGGCCTAGTCAACTGCTAATATCGGACCGATCTATGTAGCTTCACAGGGTCCAAACAGTCGGAGTATGATATCTGTGGCTGTGACGGCTGGCCCTGCCATCGACTCTCATGCTTCAAGCTATCTGAAAGACTTTGATTCTGGAGTTTGTCATCTTGCATACGAGTGACTTGGACGTCCATATCGTGAGTCCTTGAAACGTTCAACCTCGAGGTGAGCAGAATGAGTACATATACCACTACACGTTAGAGCACACCAAATTACTCACTCTCGCATTCGTCAGTACAAGTAATCTCATCTTGACATATATCATACATTACCAGGAACCACATACACATCAGTTTCCAGCATGTCCAAACAACTCCCACCATATACTACGCTTCTCCAGCCCGAGCCCGAAACACCGCAGTATACTCTCCCAGAGACCTTCAACATCGGACGATGCAGCACCCAGCACCTCGTCCGCCCAGATCAGCTTAAGGCCCATCTTCAGTTGCTGGCAGCGTTCAGCCACCTTAAGCAGCGGGTAGTTGCCAATGAGAGCCTTGCTGCGGGATTAGAGTCGGACAGCGAGAAACGTTGGGTATGGTTTGTTAATTTGGCTGTTGAACGGTGCGTGCCTTACTAGCGTTCTGCGTGTGCTTACACTGTTAGTTCACTGACTGATGGAGCGCAGGTTCGAGAGGTGGTGTTTGATGATCGAGCAATCTGATACAGTGGAGCAACGTTTGCCTCCCATCGATGTCACCATGGTGTGGCATGCCTATCTCCTGAATCCGAGGCAAGCATGTCTTGAGTTCCTCATTAATGACGGACCTCATGCTTTTCTGTCTCATCTACAGCTGGTATGCGGAAGACACCGCGCGGATCTTTAAGCTGAAACCTCTCGCTCATTTCACCAACTACTTTCCTAACCTTCTCGTACGCCACATCACTTTGAATATTGTCCCGCGCTCACTAGATGTTGTGCCAGGATAACCCTGATATATTAACCACTGACGCACCACAGTATGAACGCGTTTCTGCTTGGGAACACATTACGAAATCACCGTATGACCCATTCGAATCTGCTGCGGTTCTCACACACAAATCTATTGAGTGCCCTTACTGTTACCGCACTGTCCTTTCGCGTATGTCCTTTGTGCCTCATGGTGATTTATTCTGACAGCCAACCGTAGCATTCTTGCAGCCTAACGGCAAGGGATACGCCCAGAGTGACTTTCACATCGAATGTGAATGTGCTCAGCCGATCACTAAAGAAGTTCTCGGCCTTTACAAGTTTGCGAAAAACATCGTCGAAACAACAGTACCTGATACATATTTAGCGTGGGTGTCGCGTTGCTGATCATCTTGTACGACATCTAATGCAATTTCGTATATACAGTGGAACTCTTCATACACCCCACAGCACCTACGACATCGCGCGCGGAGACACGATCAAGGAGCGTGTCCTCGACTCAAATATCATTTTCCAGCAGAACGAGGCAAGTGATCGCGCGCGCCAGATCTTGATAAACGTCCAGTATGACGCTATGCGCATGCGTACCGTGCTGAACAAGTATTTGAAGCCAAGATTGTATGTCCTATTTTTGTTGCAATGTATATGTTTTTCTAATTGAACGACAGGTTGAATAGGATGATGGGTGCCTACACGGACGACAGGGTGTTTTCACTCGATTTGGTCGGTGCTGTGAGTACACCCTTGAAGTTTGATCGTATCCAAGGACTAATGTATGTATCTAGGTCCTCCGGCAAGGCTCGTTTGTGAAGAAGATGGTCAACTTCGGATGGACCGAGGCAGGATATTTCGCCAACGAGGTGGACGCAGTAGCACTGCAACATTGCGTAGCTCGGTATCACGCGTAGGTGCTTGCTTCTTTTTTTTTACGGACGGCACAAAAACATTACTCGGCAGCTTTTTGAACATGATGGCAGAGTCTCCTGGCTCGTTCTTCGTGCCCACGCTCGACATCGATCTCGGGTGGCATACTCATCAACTTATGGCGAGTCAGTATCAAAAGGACTGCCTCTCTTTCGTAGGACGATATGTCGATCAGTAGGTGCTGACGAGTACAATTCGGGAACACACATTGAATACATGTCTTTCAGTGATGATAAGGTGGAAGAAGGTCACCTCGCGACCTCCTTCGACCTCACCTGTCGTGCTTGGAATGTAAGCTATCATCCCTTGGATTTAGATATTTCCATCAAAACTTCTCTAAATCGTACCAGGAGCGTTATCATGTACCCTACATGTACTGCGGGTGTCCACTACCTGGAGATACAATCGGCCAAAAGCTCCGATGCCTCCTTTTCTCTCAAGCCGCCAGCAACGTGCCTTCAGTCCCTCCCAAAACTGACGCACGTGCTGCCACGCACCCAAACGATCACAACGTTGTGTTTACCTTGCACAACATGTCCGCAAACCTGCGTCGCCGGGAGAACCGTGCATGCAAAACAGGGGTGCGGAGGCTGCGGGCAGAACGAAACGGGAGGGCTGTGAAGAAGGATGGGAATGTTGATCATGCCATTGCATGTTTATATCCTGTGCCGATGTTTCGTTACTACCTCGGTGGCTCCGTTACTGCTACTGGGGCGATAGTGAATGGAGGTTTGAGGTCTGTAGCGGTGAGTGTTATTGCTGTGTTTGGAGAATGATGTGTGCTAATACCATGCTTACAGGGGGCAGATGGCTGTTCGATTGGTGCCCCACCGTGTAGCTGGTCTGATGCTGGTGGGACGGGATGTGGAGGTGGCTGTGGAGGTGGTTGTGGTGGCGGCTGTGGTGGAGGTAGTGTGCATGCTGGTGGGACGGGATGTGACGGTGGTTGCGGAAGCGGATGTGGAGGTGGCTGCGGGGGTGGTTGTGGAGGCGGATGTGGGGGCAGGTAAATCAAACTGCCTGTAATATTTCGAGTGTATCTATGCATGTAAGCTTATCTGTGATGCTCTGAAGATGTTTGCTCGGTATCAGATACCGTGTTGTATCTTGATTGGTCTCATAGCATCATGACAGTGACTTCGTGCCAGCTATGTAGCAGTACCGATATCAATCGATTGCTTACGAGTTTGAATTTTGTTCTGCAGCTCATCACCCGTGCCATCCATCATCTCAAGATCACCGAACTCGAACTTGCAGTGGGGATAATCGCTTTGGTTCTCAACTTCTTGACCAACGCTTTTTTACTTTATCTCTCTTTGAGACTCCGAGCTTGGACTTAAGCCCGATGGGTATCATTGTCGTTCTATTATGTCGTACTTGCGGCACGTGCTATCCTCTTGGTCGTGTCGCATTTAGTATCACGACAATTCAACTATTCATATTACACCAGTACTATCATTGTAACCCGTCACCTCCAAACGTCTCTGTCAAATATCCAGTGTATCCTTCAATCAATGTATGAGAGACCCTCTCGGCTTCCTGAGCGATTCTGCAATTCCTAGGAACGTTTCGGCAAGTTGTACCTAAAGACGACGTTAAACACGCCCCACATGCGTTCGTACAGTAGCACTCTTACCGTGTCTAAGGCCTGCGTATATGAAGACGCGACTGTTGCTGCCGGTGGGGCCAAAGGATCTCTTGGGGCGTTGTTCTGGATGTCAAGTGCAATTTGAGTCATTCGTCGCAAGGAGGTAGAAGCTCTATCTGGACCGAATGATACTGCGTGGAAAGACAAAGCTTTGCTAGAGATTGTGTTACAGGTTGCCAATCCAACCAAACAAATAGGCCACGAACCCAAGACGAACCGCGGAGCGGCACAAATCTTGAACAGTTTGATCCGCAATATGGCACTCGCCATCCGACAAAAATATGATTACAGGGCTCCTAAAAGCAATGTTAAAAATCTTGGACGTGTTTAAGGGAAGACCAACGCACCTTTCCGTGCTCCAATGTTGTTCCATGACCGATTGGGCCCGCTGAATTGCTGCAGTAAAGTTCGTGCCTCCATCGGCGTCATAACGCAAAACGGCATCAAGTAATTGGTCTGGAGAACTGACGAAATCGTGTACTAGGGCATTCGCAATGGAATGATCAAACAAAATAACACTGTATGAGTCGCGTCGGGCTGCTTGTTGACCACCAATCGCTACAGCACGGGCAGACCAGAAGCTATATAGGGAAGACAGCACAGCACCAAACCGGTTGTTAGAGCGTCGCACGATTCTGTCCGAGGCAGGCGTGTTCGGGAGGGGATGTCTGTCACCAGAGGCCATGGAGCCAGATCTACTAATAATCAGCAATAGCAGCCAAAAAAACATTGTCTCGCACCTATCAGCTACAAAGATTCTGGATGTATATTGATTAACATCACTGCAACTGGACCTAGCAGATCACTCACACATGGAATGCTTGCTGCATAATCACGGGATTCCTGCATGAGAAGAGATGTCCGTCATTGGAAACGTATCCTAAACCGACTTGGGCATTGTTAGGATCCATCCGCGGGTGAAACAAAGGTAAGGAACAATAGGATGGCTGAGCAGCATTTCCGGCTGCAGCAGTGTGCTCAGGGCCTAGCAAAATATTAAATCGCCAATAGGACAAGCACAAATAAACCATACCGCTACACATTGAATCACTAACAAGAATATGAATTCAGTTATGTTATCACACTTTGAGTATTCGATACGTACCACTTGGCGAAATTTGCTTGCTCCTCCCGAGAATATGGGTCTTTGAAGCCTGCGGACCATGTATCACAGCCCAGGATAATGATCATAAAATTACTCACCGGCCCGCCGCCAGAAGAGATTGTGCGTCATGAAGTCCTTGGCACGTTCCGGGTTGGGCAACATTCGCTTAGAGATATGCTGAACCTCGTTATTCCCTGTGCAAGCGGCGGCATCCGAGGCGCGACAGTAGTCAATGTGAACATGTCTGCCTACCGCCTGACAAACGAGGTTGCACATCATCGGTGCGCCCTCATCATTTGACGAGAAGCGACGGCCTTCGACCTCGAGACCCGTATCATCTGGGCCATCGACTGCCCATCGTGACGAGGACATGGATCCGTGTCTCGTTTCATGCTCTTGCTGCGGATGACCTGATGTAAGGGTTCGTGAAACGTGACTGCCGAGGTGCACAGGGTGTACCTACCGAGCGGCAATGTACAATAGTAGCCACAGTGATCACACCTGAAACGACGAGAATGAATGAGGAAAGACCGCAAAAGCGGAAGAAAGTTTCTAACTTCGCTCTGCAGAAATGTACCACTCTTTGATCCAAACTATGGTTGTGCCGACCTGTATGGGCTACAAGGCCTGGTGGTATCGACTTGGCACATCTCAGTCGTTTAGCCACTGTTGAGGGCGAATAAGTGACAGTATCAGAGGTTATCAACCCAACACACCTTGCGAGTACTGCGAACCAAGATCGTACATCAATTCAGAAAATAATGTCCAAGACAGAAACAGAACGCCACCTTCGTGTACTGAAACGTCTCGTGCCTTCCGGTGAACGTCGCCTCGATCGATTGTGGCGCAGTCTCAATTTCGCAGATACCCTCGGCAGTGCATTGCACGGAACACGAATGCTCCTCCCTATTTGAAATTCAATTCTCAGATACAAAGATACACAGGATGATTGTCGACAAACCCGCAGAGATGGATAGCGCCGTCTTCCAAGCCGTGAAGATGGTCGGTATTCGCACAGAGTCTCTTGCAAAGTTGGCAAGGGAAAGAGCAAAGTCGAGCATCGCACAGGTGTTGGTCATGATTCATGTCACTGTGGAAAATTAGATGTCAGAAGGTGGTGCAAGCGTTCATTTGATGACTTGCCTTGCAATGCCACAAGTACCGCGACAAGGGGGAGTGGTTCCGTCATCCAACCTGAGCTTTGACAGATCGCAGGGCTAGAGGCCTTTTAAGCACGTGAAATGGCTGTTCTAGGGTCAAACATACCTGACCACAGGCATGCACAATAGCAGCACACAGATGGTCATCTTCTGCGTGACCGATCACCTAAAAGACAAGCTCAACGACCTTTTACACAACGATAAAGAGGATCCATCTCACCTTCGTACACTCATCCAGACATCCCTGTCTCCCGGAAAATTTGCAGGCTTGACCACAGAGATGCGCATTAACAACACATCTAGAAGGGGTGATGAGCTCGTGCATGGATACGATCATGAAAGGCTTAACATGTGGTTGCCCGGATGCCCCGCTCTGAGATGCTTCAGTTTACTGGCCCACTGAAAAGATTGATGACTTACGACATGGTGCAAGCCTTTGTCTCTCCCGATGACGCACAAAAATCACAAGAATGTATGCATTCATGAGAGGTCAGGCAGTCATGTTGTCCGTCATGCAATCTGCTCTGAATGCAGAGCAGCTCGCAACTTCCACACTTCATCATGCACAACTGCAAGTTGCTCTTCAAATCCACTGTCGCGCTTTCAAACGTTCTCATGAGCTCGTCGATGCTTGCCTGCCCGTTTTGGAATCGAGCGACGTTGGACGATATCCACTCGCGGACACGGGCGACGCGCAAATTGACCAGACTGTCGATGTGAGCGATCAAATTCTCGATCCAAAGATCCTCCGGCACGTGATGGCGAGAACCATAGTCTTCCCATGCATGAGACAGAACTTGGAGAGCGGTCTCGCGAGAAGGAGATTGTGGCCCTCCTGCCAATGAAAATTCAGCTGGAGTATCGGGCATCCCGATCGGGACATCATCATCCAGATTCTTCATAACGCCGGTTAAACACGATTGCAATGAAAGGCAGTAGAAGCGTTCCACACCTTCAGAGGTTCCGGGTCGGGGTTAACTTCTTGCAGTCCAAATGCCAACGCATTTGGCAACATGGCTAATAGAAGTTGTGCTCGATGCGAGGCCATCGATTCTGCGGTGTGTTGTTGATGAACTGAACTACGGATGCTGTAAGAGTACTACGCACGTGACAGAGCACCCCAATCATTTGCCTGCACGAGTTCTGATGACTGGTCTCAAAATGTACGACAAGTGAATCATACCTTCAGTTTCGCCATCAAGGTCTTCATGACATGAAGGAATTCTCCTGCTGTATGATGCGTCAATTTTTGTTTGTCCAGTCGACGTTTGAGAGTCGGGAACAGCTTATAGAATTCCTGCGACTCAATTACCGGCCTGCATGGAACAATCAACCAATGATACCATGAGAAACATCTCACATACCAAGGGATGATATTCAACTGCCCAGCGTGAAGGCGAGAAATGAAGTTGGCCTCTTGTTCATCTTGAACTATCTGCTGAAACTTGAGGGCGAACCTGAGTGACGATTTGAGTATGCATTCATGGGGACACTGTCTGGAGCGTACTCTCTAGTGATTTCTGCTTTGTCCGAATCCACGACATCCTAGAAGTCGATATGTCAAAACACATAAAAAACAAATTTCAAGAGATGGGAAAGTACTTTAATTATGATCACCAACGTTGATTGAAATAGACTCGGGTTAGATGCTGGGTCGAGGACGGTCGAGCTTGATTGGAATGACTGGAATAAGCCTGTGATGTCTCGGCTTAAGGCGAAGTTGTTCCGAAATAGCACCTACGTAAACGACATCAGGCAACCATGAGAAACACAGCGGGCAACAAACCAAGTTAGAGATCGCAGTATTGAATAGCACGAGCAATGTATCTTCTTGAGCAGAACGCTCAATACTATGAACACCTATTAAAGAAAGATATCAATATGAAACATCCACTGATGGTTTGATTCGACATACCTTCAAAATCCAAAGCAACAATAAGAGCATCTTTAGTCGGAGTTACCGACATCCAAACCCCTTCTGTCGTACGCATGGCCGATCCCGCGAATGACGTATCCACAAGATGGTTCAAGGAAAAGCTCTTCCCCACCGATTGTTCGCCCATGGACGACACAACTTTGACCGGCTTGAAGAAGATG